CCAAAACAACCATGGCCATCCCCAAACTCAACCATGACCATCCCCAACCCAACCATGACCATCCCCATCCCAACCATGACCATCCCCAAACTCAACCATGACCATTCCCATCGCAACCATTAAGTAGGGGGTAAAATAATTGGAGAAAAAAAGAAATAATTAATATAGAGAGGAAAAAATAATTAGGGAAAAAAAGAAATAATTAATACGTACGGGAAAAATACAGGAAAAAAATAATTATTAAGTAGGGAATAAAATAATTAATTTAAAAAAGAAATAATTGCTAAGTAGAGTTTAAGCATCATCTCTCTTTCCTCTCCAACTGCAGGACATGCAGCCCCTGAGGCTCTTCCCCCAGCCCGGCCACCCCGCCCGCACCAGCCCCGTCCGGCACAGCAAGAGGGGCCTGGGCAGCACCGACGAGGGCCGGGAGCAGGGTAAGGGCTGCCCAGGGGGTGCTGGGACCCTCCCCCTGCTTTTGGGGAGCTCTGCTGCTCCCTCTGTGCTCAGGGGGGCAGCTGGGTCTGATCTTGCAGCCGAGCTGCTGAAAAGTGCGGGATTGGAGACCCCGGTGCCGCCGCCGCCGCCCCTGAGCCGCTGCATCTCCATGCCTGTGGACATCTCCGGTGGGTTTGGGGGTGGGAATGGGGGGTCTTGGGGTGGGTAGCTCAGGGGATAGCTGGGGACAGCCAGGAGACACCCAGGGGACAGGCAGGGACAACCAGGGACACACAGGGGACACCCAAGGACACCCAGGGCAGCCGCCCCTGAGCCGCTGCATCTCCATGCCCGTGGATATCTCCGGTGGGTTTGGGGGTGGGAATGGGGGGTCTTGGGGTGGGTAGCTCAGGGGATAGTTGGGGACACTCAGGGGACACCCAGGGACACTCTGGGGACAGCCAGGGGACAGGCAGGGACACTCAGGGGACACCCAGGGACATCCAGGGCAGCCACCCCTGAGCCACTGCATCTCCAAGCCCGTGGATATCTCTGGTGGGGATGGATATATTTGGGGGTGGGAACGGAGGGTCTTGGGGACAGCTGGGGGACCCTGGGGAGTGTCTTGTCCCCATGTTGGACACGGTCACCCTGTCACCCCTCCAGGCATCCAGAAGGGTCCCCGCTCCGACTTCGACATGGCCTACGAGCGCGGCCGCATCTCGGTGTCGCTGCAGGAGGACAGCACGGGGGCCATGGCCGGATTCGCGCGGGTACGGCCGCAGGACCCCTGGATCCCACCCCAAATCCCACCCTGAATCCCACCCGAAATCCCACCCTGAATCCCACTCAAATCCTACCCCAAAATTCCACTGAATCTCAACCCAAATCCCACCCCAAATCCCACCTGAATCCCGCTCCAAATCCCACCCTGAATCCCACCCAAATCCCACCCTGAATCCCACCCAAATCCTACCCTGAATCTCACCCCAAATCCCACCTTGAATCCCACCCCAAATCCCACCCAAATCCTACCCCAAACCACCTTGAATCCCACTCCAAAGCCCCACTGAATCCCACCCTGAATCCCACCTGAATCCCACCCCAAACCCCCTCAGAATCCTAACCCAAATCCCACCTGAATCCCACCCCAAAGCCCCACTGAATCCCACCCCAAATCCCACCTGAATCCCACCCCAAATCCCACCTGAATCCCACACCAAATCCCACCCAAATCCTACCCCAAACCACCTTGAATTCCACTCCAAACCCCCTCAAAATCCCACCTTAATCTCACCTGAATCCCACTCTGACTTCCACCTGAATCCCACCCTGAATCCCACCTGAATCCCACCCCAAATCCCACCTGAATCTTACCCTGAATCCCACCCCAAATCCTACCTCAAACCACTCTGAATCCCACCCCAAATCCCACTCAAATTCTACCCCGAATCTCACCGAATCCCACCTGAATCCCCCCCCAAATCCCCCCAAACCTCTCCCTGACCCCGCCGTGCCCCGCAGTCGGTGTCCCACGAGCCCAAGGAGCGCAAGTCGGTGACGCTGGAGGAGCCCCCGCCGGGGTCCCACCAGTCCAACTCCAGCGAGGACGAGGCGGGGCCGGGGCCGTGTCCCTTCGGGCCCTTCCAGGGCCGCCAGACCAACCTCGTCTTCGAGGCCGCCAAGCAGGAGCTGGTCAAGCTCATGAAGGTGGAGGTGAGGCCTTGGGGGGGGTCTCATCACGTTGGGGCTTCCCATCACTTCACACCGGCCCCCCGTGCTTTGGGGTGGTCCTGTTGTGTTGTGGTGGGTTCCCACTGCCTCGTGGAGGTCCCCATCCCTTCGTGTTGGTCCCCTGTTACTCTGTGGTGGGTCTCTGTTGTGTTGTGGTGGGTCCCCACTTCCTTGTGGTGGTCCCTGTCCCCTCATGTTGGTCCCCTGTTGCTCTGGGGTGGGTCTCTTGTGGCCTCGTGGTGGGTTCCCAGTTCCTCGTGTTGGTCCCCGTCCCCTCATGTTGGTCCCCTGTTGCTCTGGGGTGGGTCTCTGGTGGCCTGGTCATCCTTCTCCCCTCATGGTGGTCCCCATTGTTTGTGGTGGTCCCCATGACCTCCTGGTCATCCTTGTCCCCTCATGGTGGTCCCTGTGACCTCCTGGTCATCCTTGTCCCCTCATGGTGGTCCCCGTGACATCCTGGTCGTCCTGGTCCCCTCATGGTGGTCCCCACTGTTTGTGGTGGTCCCCGTGACCTCCTGGTCATCCTTTATCCCCTCATGGTGGTCCCTGTTGTTTGTGGTGGTCCCCACGACCTCCTGCTCATCCTTGTCCCCTCATGGTGGTCCCCATCCCCTCCTGAGGGTCCCCACCACCCCACACGACATCGTTCTTCCCTCCAGGACCCCTCTCTCCTCAACAACCGTGTCCTGCTCCACCACGCCAAAGCCGGGACCGTCATTGCCCGCCAAGGTGACCAGGTGGGTTTTGGGGGGGTTTCTGTGGCCCCTTGACTCCCCCTCCCCATATTTCCATGGGGTGCCACTCCCTTACTCCTCCCCCGTGGCTCTTGGGGGGGTGGGAACGACCCCAGAACCTCGGGAGGGTTCAAAACCCCCCGTGAGGAGAAGCACAACCACCCACGCGTGGGGCTGGGGGGACCCTCGTACCTGGGGGTCCCTCGGTGGCTCCCGGGGTCCCGGGTGGCTTCCGGGGATTCCAGATGGCTCCGTGGGGTCCCAGGTGACTCCCAGGATCCTGGATGGCTCTGTGGGATTCTGGGTGGCTACCAGGGATCCCGGGTGACTCCCAGGTCCCAGATGTCTCTGTGGGGTCCCAGGTGACTCCCAGGGATCCCAGATGGCTCCATGGGATCCTGGGTGGCTCCCAGGGATCCTGGGTGGCTCTCAGTGATCCCAGATGGCTCTATGGGATTCTGGGTGACTTCCAGGGATCCCGGGTGGCTCCCGATGAACCTGGGTGACTTCCAGTGATCCCGGGTGGCTCTGTGGGATCCTGGGTGACTCCCAATGATCCCAGGTGACTCCCAGGGATCCCGAGTGGCTCTGTGGAGTCCTGGATGACTCTCAGTGATCCCGGGTGGCTCTGAGTGATCCCGGGTGCCTCTGTGGGGTCCCGGGTGACTCCCAGGGATCCCGGGTGGCTCTGTGGGGTCCCGGGTGACTCCCAGGGATCCCAGGTGGCTCTATGGGGTCCCAGGTGACCCCCAGTGATCCTGGGTGATTCCCAGGGGTCCTGGGTGACTCCCAGTGATCCCAGGTGTCTCTGTGGGATCCCGAGTGGCTCCCAGTGATCCCGGGTGGCTCTGAGTGATCCTGGGTGGCTCTGTGGGGTCCCGGGTGACCCCCAGTGATCCCGGGTGACTCCCAGGGATCCTGGGTGACTCCCAGTGATCCCGGGGCGCCCCGGCCGTGCCGCGGCGGTGACGGGGCGCGCTCTGGGCAGGACGTGAGCCTGCACTTCGTGCTCTGGGGGTGCCTGCACGTGTACCAGCGCATGATCGACAAGGCGGAGGACGTGTGCCTGTTCCTGACGCAGCCCGGCGAGCTGGTGGGGCAGCTGGCCGTGCTCACCGGGGAGCCCCTCATCTTCACCATCAAGGCCAACCGCGACTGCACCTTCCTCAAGATCTCCAAGTCCGACTTCTACGAGTGAGAAAGGGGCCACGGGGCGAGGGGGGTGATGCCCAAGGGGGACAGTCGAGGACTGGGGGGGTGGCAGCAGTGGGGTGGTTGTTCGGCTCTGCCTGGTGTTGGTGTGGCCTCGCCTCGAGTGCTGGGGGTAGTAGGGGGGTCACCACGAGGAGTGGAGGAGTCTCCGGAGCTCCAAGTCGCTCTGAGGGTCCTGGGTGGCCCTGAGAGGTCCTGGGTGGCTCCAAGGGGTCCCAGGTGGCTCTGAGGGGTCCCAGGTGGCTCCAAGGGTCCCAGGTGAATCCAAGGGGTCCCAGGTGGTTCTGAGTGGTCCTGGGTGGCTCTGAGAAGTCCTGGGTGGCTCCGAGGGGCTGCTGTGGTGGCACCTTCAGGGCCACTGTGGTGGCACCTTCGGGGCCGCTGTGGTGGCACTTCGGGGGCCACTGTGGTGGGATATTCAGGGTTACTGTGCTCGCATCTTCAGGGCCACTGCAGTGGCATCTCTGGGGTTGCTGTGGTGGCATCTTTGGGGTTGCTGTGGTGGCACCTTCAAGGCCACTGTGGTGGCACCTTCAGGGCTGCTGTGGTGGCATCTTTGGGGCCGCTGTGGTGGCACCTTCAGGGTTGCTGTGGT